TTTTTTTTTACCCCCTCTGGTGTCACCCAGTGCGGGCTGCACCCCCCCCTCCCTGTGACGCCACTGACTACAAGCATGCGGCAAATGAAGCCAATGTGTATTGTCACTTGGTGATCCTATCAGTATCACACTTCCCTTCCAAGGGGCACAATGCTCAGTCATCGTACTGCATCAATGACAAGCAGAATTGTCAGCCTAGGACAGGACTACAATAACCTTCCCCTTTCCTCCATAACAGAGTAGAGGAGTTCTGTAGTCCTCGGAGACAGCTGGAAACACTGCAACTGATAAGAATGCAGCACAGGAAGTTCTCAGCTCACAAGATATCTGGCAGGATCCACAGGTATTTTTGCACTTATCAAACAGATAAAACAAAACGCTTTCAATGGCATATAATAAGGCAAAAGGGACTATACAAGTAAAGGTCATTGCTAGGGTTTACATGCCCTTTAACTCAGTATAACAGCCAGTCAGCTAGCATTTTCAGAAGCAGAGGCCAGCCATGGCATCCTACATTTTTTTTTAACCTCAGCTTGTTTCATTTAAGTATACGACAAATGGAATATGCAACCGTAATCCCTTTATGCAGAAATGAGTGCAGTACCTAAAACAATCCTGAAGGTGGCGCAATAATCCTCCAAAGAACTATGGCCGCCGTCCAGTATTAGAAGAGATCAGGTCACAAAGCAAAACACAAATGCCTTATGACGGTCCCTTTGAGGACATCCTCCATTACTTATAATCCCTACGTGAACTTCCAGTGATAACGACTTTTAATAGATATTCATAAATATTAGTTTGTTTCTCATGATCTCGGCTGCTCTGTGACCACTCGATATCTGCAAGTCCCAGCAAGGATCTTCCAGGTCTGTCCAATGTATTCCAATGGTATTTTTTGCTCCAGTTCACATCGCAGCGTGCAGTTCCAGAGCAGGTGAAAAAACTGCAGCAAGCCCTATTTTACCTGCTCTGGATCTGCAAAACGCATGAAAGTTCCTGGAACGCACTGAAAGCCCATTTTAAACTTAAAAAAGAAATAAATAAATTTTTAGCCAAAAACGCGTCAAAAAGACGTGTGTGCAGAAACCTGACCGGATCTGCTCTGCATTTGGTGTGAACAAGGCCTAAAAGCCCTCCGTGTTGAAGGGGGCTGGGGGCTAGTAAAAAAGCAGTGAGGTAAGTGGCAGGTGATGCACCCCCGCAGCTTGTGAGGTAGGAGGGGAAACTGCTCTACCTGTGGGGTGTGGGAGGAGCCTCCCTGTTCCTCACTTGCTCATCACTGAAGAGGCATCTAGATGGATGCTGTCGGTGTTTTTCTCTTTTTTGATTGGACAACTTGCACTAAATTGGTGCTTTTCCATTGGTCCAAACCATCCACAGAGCTCAAGCCTCTGACTCCAAGTTAGAGGCTTGTTGAAGCTCTGACCTCACCGTGTTTGGTTACATTCAGCAGTGGGGAAGCCCGCTGGTGTGTAACCTAACTTAGCTGTCAAAAGCTGGATAATTAAAAGGAGGCGCTCTGTCCATGACAGGTTCCATAGCGGGGAGGATTTCCCTGCTGTGTAACCTGTTAGAAGCCACTCTGAATGGAGAAAAAGCTGTCAGCTTCAAACATGAAGCTGACAGCTTTTTCTTCCAAAATGGCAGGTAAAGCTCTGTCCCACCTACCTTCAAAGACAGCACGTTCCTGCTGCGGTGGGCCAGTGAGTCCTAATTTTGTTCTCTTGAGAAGGTAGGGGCTGGAGGATGGAAGCACAGAGTACATGGGGACTCCCAGCCATTCAATACACACTGAAATGTGTCGGATGCTGAAGTTTATGCCAGAAGCTGTAGCTCTTGCAGAGAGTGAGCTTAGGACTTGCCACCCCCCGGCTCTTGCAGAGAGTGAGGTTAGGACTTGCCACCCGCCGGCTCTTGCAGAGAGCTAGGTTAGCACTTGCCACCTCCTGGCTCTTGCAGAGAGTGATGTTAGGACTTGCCACCCCTTGCAGAGTGAGGTTAGGACTTGCCCCCCCCCGGCTCTTGCAGAGTGAGGTTAGGACTTGCCCCCCCCCGGCTCTTGCAGAGTGAGGTTAGGACTTGCCCCCCCCCGGCTCTTGCAGAGTGAGGTTAGGACTTGCCCCCCCCCGGCTCTTGCAGAGTGAGGTTAGGACTTGCCCCCCCCCGGCTCTTGCAGAGTGAGGTTAGGACTTGCCCCCCCCCGGCTCTTGCAGAGTGAGGTTAGGACTTGCCCCCCCCCGGCTCTTGCAGAGTGAGGTTAGGACTTGCCCCCCCCCGGCTCTTGCAGAGTGAGGTTAGGACTTGCCCCCCCCCGGCTCTTGCAGAGTGAGGTTAGGACTTGCCCCCCCCCGGCTCTTGCAGAGTGAGGTTAGGACTTGCCCCCCCCCGGCTCTTGCAGAGTGAGGTTAGGACTTGCCCCCCCCCGGCTCTTGCAGAGTGAGGTTAGGACTTGCCCCCCCCCGGCTCTTGCAGAGTGAGGTTAGGACTTGCCCCCCCCCGGCTCTTGCAGAGTGAGGTTAGGACTTGCCCCCCCCCGGCTCTTGCAGAGTGAGGTTAGGACTTGCCCCCCCCCGGCTCTTGCAGAGTGAGGTTAGGACTTGCCCCCCCCCGGCTCTTGCAGAGTGAGGTTAGGACTTGCCCCCCCCCGGCTCTTGCAGAGTGAGGTTAGGACTTGCCCCCCCCCGGCTCTTGCAGAGTGAGGTTAGGACTTGCCCCCCCCCGGCTCTTGCAGAGTGAGGTTAGGACTTGCCCCCCCCCGGCTCTTGCAGAGTGAGGTTAGGACTTGCCCCCCCCCGGCTCTTGCAGAGTGAGGTTAGGACTTGCCCCCCCCCGGCTCTTGCAGAGTGAGGTTAGGACTTGCCCCCCCCCGGCTCTTGCAGAGTGAGGTTAGGACTTGCCCCCCCCCGGCTCTTGCAGAGTGAGGTTAGGACTTGCCCCCCCCCGGCTCTTGCAGAGTGAGGTTAGGACTTGCCCCCCCCCGGCTCTTGCAGAGTGAGGTTAGGACTTGCCCCCCCCCGGCTCTTGCAGAGTGAGGTTAGGACTTGCCCCCCCCCGGCTCTTGCAGAGTGAGGTTAGGACTTGCCCCCCCCCGGCTCTTGCAGAGTGAGGTTAGGACTTGCCCCCCCCCGGCTCTTGCAGAGTGAGGTTAGGACTTGCCCCCCCCCGGCTCTTGCAGAGTGAGGTTAGGACTTGCCCCCCCCCGGCTCTTGCAGAGTGAGGTTAGGACTTGCCCCCCCCCGGCTCTTGCAGAGTGAGGTTAGGACTTGCCCCCCCCCGGCTCTTGCAGAGTGAGGTTAGGACTTGCCCCCCCCCGGCTCTTGCAGAGTGAGGTTAGGACTTGCCCCCCCCCGGCTCTTGCAGAGTGAGGTTAGGACTTGCCCCCCCCCGGCTCTTGCAGAGTGAGGTTAGGACTTGCCACCCGCCGGCTCTTGCAGAGTGAGGTTAGGACTTGCCACCCTCTGGCTCTTGCAGAGTGAGGTTAGGGCTTGCCACCAGCCGGCTCTTGCAGAGTGAGGTTAGGGCTTGCCACCCCTTGCCTCTTGCAGAGAGTGAGGTTAGGACTTGCCACCCCCTGGCTCTTGCAGAGTGAGGTTAGGGCTTGCCACCCCTTGCCTCTTGCAGAGAGGGGGGTTAGGACTTGCCACCCCCTGGCTCTTCTTGCAGAGTGAGGTTAGGACTTGCCACCCGCCGTCTCTTGCAGAGATCAAGGTTAGGACTTGCCACCCCCTGGCTCTTGCAGAGTGAGGTTAGGGCTTGCCACCCGCCGTCTCTTGCAGAGATCAAGGTTAGGACTTGCCACCCCCTGGCTCTTGCAGGAAGTGAGGTAAGGACTTGCCACCCACTAAAGAGGACATATGAAGTCTCGTTTTTCAGGTTGGTTTTTCAATTGTCTTTGGATAGCGACAAATTTACCTTCACAGGAAACATTTCCCGATTACTATTTTCATAAATTAACAGAAGGGGGAGGAACACATAAAATATGCCGTGCGCAAATCTTTGCACGCGCTAGCAGTAGTCGGTAACAACCCATTTTACGGTGCTCAGACACTTTATGTAACCAGCTGCCTTTCCATTATCACTTTAAGAACTATCCCTCTTCATAGAGTTCGGGTCGGGTCATACACTGTACCCTCTTCATAGAGGGAGAGTTCGGGTCGGGTCATACACTGTACCCTCTTCATAGAGGGAGAGTTCGGGTCGGGTCATACACTCCACCCTCTTCCTAGCTGAACACTTCGATGGCCCTTTAATACGTATGGGTTTATATTTTGTAAATGCCTCTTTGGCCAAGGCATTTTTTTCCTGCTTTCTTGAGGAAACGATGGCAGCTAAACAAAAAAATGGCTAGTCTCTAAGTGCAAGAGGGAACATGGCAATTGGCGCGACCGGAAAAAAAAACCTTTGCGGTCCGTGTCTGAAATGTTTGGTTAAAAAAAAAACAAAAAAGCAAAAAATGTAAACATAAAAAAACCCTGAATGTACAAGAGAGATGGTGGCAAAGAGAAAGGGGTACAGTCCGTTCTCCCATCTCGTTCCCTATTTCACATTGGGTGAGTCACTGACCCCAGTTGTACGTTAAGCTCCTCCCACCCTGATCTTTGGTCCCAATATCCCACCCGCATAAGCTTCCCAAGCTCCGTCTGTACTACCAGTGTTTGGCTTCAATTACCCACCCCGACAGGTTGCGTTTTGTTCCCAGCCCCTCCCACCCCAAAAGCTGTGCCTTTTCACTCTTTTTCCCTGTGCGCACAGCCAGCGTTTGGCCCCAAGATCCCCGTTTGCTTAGGCCACTGGTGGCCCCCATCCAAACCCAAGCGCCATTTGGCCCCTATATCTTGCTGGGCCGAGATGTCCCATCCAGGAGAGGCTCTGTGTGGCTCCAATCTCCTGTCCGGTACAGGCTTGTTTGGTTTACATCCTTCGTCCATCCCAAGCGTTGTTTGGTTCCCCCGTCCGCTGTGCGATTTTGGGAGGTTCCACTTCTGCTTGGCACCTTTTGCTGGGGGGAGTCACTGCACTGGATTGACCACCAGAACTTTGCACTGGCGCTTGGCGATTTTATCCAGCGATAGTGTGGCCCGCTCGGGCGGCAGGTAGAGCGGGCGACCCAAGGGGGATCCTACGGGTGGAGTGATTGCGCGACGCTCCATGACGCTGCCGGTCCTATACAAAAAGAGATGGTTCAATATAAGTTAATGTCACATGAGCCTCATCTAAACACCCGTAATGTATACAAGAGACGGCCAATCTGAACCTTGACCCTCCCCTTCAGCAGAGGTCATGTGACCTAATGCCTAAAGGCTGCCTATGGATCCCGGGGTAACACTATTTCGCATTTATGAATAAAGCAAATGACTGTTTATGGGAGAACCCGTTCCTATAACAGTCCAGCACATGTGGAAGAAATAAAAATGACAGCCTGATGATCATCAACTCCTCCTAAAGCGGAATCCAAAAATGACCTCTTTTAAAACCCAGTGACATCATCACTGGGTCTGTCTGCTGCTCTATGGTCTGAGTTTGGTAGGAGGGGCCAGCAGGCTCATGTGAAAGAACACAATCCTGGTATCCCTTAACCCCTTACAGTGTACGTCACCGGCATCGGGGCTGTTTAAACAGAAAGCCGCCAGGACTCTGTTTAAACTTGTAAAGCCAACAGTCGGCTTTACAGTAGAATCGGTCCTGGCGACTCGGCTGTCGCCAGATCGCTTCTACGGGCCGGTGAAGGGGTCCCCCTCCGTCCGACACCCCCGCCGTGTTTCCCGGGCTCTGTTGCCCCTCCTACTGGCCCAGGACCGGCTTCTTCGGTGTCGGCGGGAAGCTGGGGAGGAGATGGACGAACCTCCATTCGTCGATCCCCTCCCCGTTCAATGGGACCGGGAGCAATGCAGATTACATCACTTCCGAACCCATAACTGTCAGTGCAGGGCTCCTGAAGCCTGCGATCTGCACTTCAATAGCTTACTTGGAGTGGAAAGGTGACACTGAGGGTCTTTTGGACCCCCAACATCACCTTAAAGAGTACCTGTCACCACTATCTGGTATCACATGGGGTGCTTGTAAGCCCCCCCCCCACCCCCCATGTGATAGCAATTAAAGTAAAACAAATAAATACCAGTTTTTTAAATTAAACATTAAATAAAAAATCTAAAAATAATTTAAAAACTTTTTTTAAAGTCTCCTGCGACTTCACGTAAACATGCATCGGATGCGCCTACGTTGGGTATCGCCGCGCACGCCGGAGTGAGAGCAATAATTCAAGGGCCAGTATTATTGGGTATCTCTAAACTGATGACCTGTGGGGGCTTTAAAAGCGTTGTCTATGGACTTTTTGGGGTACAGAATTTTGTGTCGCCGTTTCACGGACGCACACAATTTTTAACCAGGGCATGTTGGGAATCTATTTACTCGTTGTAACCTCATATTTTATTTAAAAAAATTGGTATTTTATTGTGTTTTGGGGCATTTAAGTAAATTTTCCACTAAATTTTGTTTTGGGGTTTGATAAGGAATTGCGCTAATATCGTGCAACATAAAAATTTGAAACTGCCGCCATTTTATTCCACAGGGTCTGGGCTTTCAGAAAATATATAATGTTTGGGGGTTTTAAGTAATTTTCAGGCCTAAAATGTGGAATATATCATGGGTGCGCTCTGCAAAACACTCAAACACCGAAATCCCTTTATTTCCTATGGGTATGGTTCACACCTGGGCGTATTACAGGCCGTATGAACGCGCTACAAAACGCCCTACGCCCAAAGAAGTACAGGAGCTTCTTTGGGCGTTTTTGTTGCGCGTTTCCATTGGGATACAGCCAAGTAGCCCTCGGAAACGCGCGTTTGTCGCGCGCTTTTTTAACCGCGAATCGCGGTAAAAACGCGTGCCACGAAACGCGCAGCAAACGCGCATATTCAATACGCCTAGGTGTGAACCCAGCCTAATAGAATGTAATCAAGCAAATGTTTGCTTTTTTCTTTTTTGTTTGGATGGAGTGTTTAATGCCTTGTCAGGTTTTTATTGCTGCGTCCCGGCAGGAACTGAAGGGAAATCTCCCCAATGGGCCACACACAGCACAAAACCCCTATAGAGATTTTACGCATTCCCTGATCTATCCAAAACAACAAAAAAAGGATGCGCTTAAATCTTCAAAACAACACCTACGACCTTGGGAATCCTTTGAAATCCAAGTCCAGTCTGAACACAGGTCATTGATGTCTGGCTATGTCGACTCTCAATCCCTCCCCTTTCTACCATTAAGCCCCACCCCCTCAGCTTTTTAACAGACCAATATCAAGATGCCAATGGCCATTATAATTTAATTTATAATTAGGAAATTAGAATCTGGCATTTCAATGTCATATTGTAGGGATGGTACCTAATATTGGCGTCGGCTAAAGTCTTGTGTACAGCTTGGGCCCAGGCTCCACAAGGAACCAAACGTTGGTTTGAAGGCAAGCAGGTAACTGTGGACACCACAAGATTCCTGCACTCCCACAGAATTGCTAACTTGGACGCGTCCTAGGCCCCCCCAACAGCTTCACTTTAAGGGTTAGCACCTCCAATCCAAAAAGCAGTGTGATTTCTCACCGGATCAGCTGACCACGAGGAGGCTGCTGGTGAGAGAAAGACTGGGATCTCCCAAGAGCGCCCCCCTGCTGCTGTCTCTCCAGGTCCCGAAGGGCCGGGCTGCTGGGACTGCTTCTTCTTGAAACGGGGCGAGCGTCTGGAGGAGCCTGGGACACACTGGCCGTGAACTGCAGCTTCAGCTTCATATGTTGGCTCAGCTAGAGGGGGGCAAGAGAAGAAGAGAAATGAACATTCTAGTTGCAGTGGTCATGATAACCGTGTTAAAGAGAGAAAAAGATTGGACAGAACGTAATAAGGGACAAAGTCAATCTTATTTTACAATATCACCCAAACCGTCCTCTCCGCTCCTCCCAAGACCTCCTGCTCTCTTGCTCCCTTCTCACCTCCTCCCATATTGACCTCTTTGACTTCTCCAGAGCCTTCCCTATCCTCTGAAACTTCCTACCCCAATCCCTCTGGCTATCTCCTACACTTTCCACTTAAAGGCGATCCATGAAACCTCATCCGTTCAGAGAAGCCGATCCCACCTCCACACAACAACTGAACTTTTATCTGTAAAAAATAAGTCAAGACAACTGGACTTGCTGTATATTTCTTGAAGACGTATCACTGGTCATCCGACCAGCTTTCTCCATTCAGAATGACTTGTACAAAACATTATCTGGGAATTCTCCCCCCCCCCACCTCTATTCAAGCTTGGCTTCTCTATTTTTACATAAATGGCCTCTTTCACACCTCTTATAAACCAGTCCTCCTCCCTGTCTAGGATGCGTACTTGATTGTCTTCAAAGCAGTGACCTCTTTCCTTTAGATGTAAGTACACTGCTGAATCCTGACCAGAGGGTTTGGCTCTTCTATTCTGTGCCGTACGCTGGTGTAGCCGCTGTTTTCCCCCCTCCCCGCTCCGATTCTCCAGCGCTGACTGGCGGAACGGACACCTCCTAGACTCCAATTATGCAAATGCAATCAACACCTGGTTGTGACTAACAGATTATGTGGAATGGAGCGACATTCACCATATTTATTCCCAGATAATTTTTAGTACAATGAATGGAGAAAGCTGGTCGGATGACCAGTGAAACGTCTTCAAGAAAAATACAGCGAGTCCAGTTGCCATGACTTAGTTTTTACACATGTACCATGACCCGGATGAATGAGAACCTTCACAGACAAACTGAACTTTTACTTTCTCCATTAGCTCCTCCCCACACAGGTATTACCTTCTAGTATCACTAACCCCTCCCTCTTAGATTGTAAGCTCTCCTGACCAGGGTCCTACTAACCCTTTTGTCTAGAATTGTAATGTAACTATATTGTCTCCCTTTATATTGTAAAGCGCTGTGCAAACTGAGTCATGTATAAAACCTCTAATATAATAATGACTATAAATGATATTAATATTGTGTTGCTGAAGACCTAATAGTCTGGACTGGAGCTGGTTAATTCCCATCCTTCCACTAGAAGCCCGATGCCCTTCCTCCGCAGACAGAGGGTGAGTCATGAGATAATTGCAGACAATCTCTGGAATAATGAATGGTCTGGGAATATTACAGTACGTCTTATGTTTTCATCAAAGCCGAGGAGAGGGTCGGGTCATACACTGTACCATCTGAGCACTTATCACTTCACCGCACACACGGTCTCTGATAATGACAGGGTAGGAGAGGTGCCGGAGGATGGCAGGCTGAAGGTCAACGTTTTTTCTCTTTCCTCAGCAATAGATAACCGGCCTTCAATCACAGCGCAATTGTTGGGTTTGGCAAAGCGGCGCAAGAAAAAAATAAGCGGCTGATATCTCTTTGTCTATATTACTGGGCTGGAAGTCAGACGTGTGCTGGACAATACTGCTCCCCGCTGCATCAGCTTCACATGTATTTAGTCATAATATCCCAACGTCAATTCTCCAAAATTCTATCATGTAATATTAAATCAACCCTCCCCCCCCCCCCCCCCC